TTACAAAGACTTTTCCACCTATCCTGCAATTAACCTGTTAACAAATCTTGTTTTTGTATACTTTGCACTTTTACATTTTGTGTATTTAATTATTCACTGTTTCTATTAGACTGTAAACTCAACACTTTGTTCCAGTTACATGTATGTTTAAATGTGTTGTTCTGACTTTTAATTTATAAGTAGTAATCATTGGGAATGGGCTTGTGGGGAACTCTTAAGTATGACTGGTTTCAAATGCTTTGGAGAATTTTTAAAAGAATGAAGAAAAAAAATGAATGACTTTACATATGTTTCAAATGTATTTTTAAAGTTGACTTTTAAGTGTATGAATTCTCTTGGGTAAAGCAGTAATTTCTCCATACAAGTCGAAATCTTAGAACACCAAAATAACGCTATATTGTGTCGGGTTTTTTTTTTTTTTTTACTAAACAAGATCAGTTTGGTAGGGCCACAAGTATTATTTAAGCATTTTGCTTGATAATGGTACTACATTTTATAATGGTTGATATCTTTTTAGAATGTTATCCATATACATAGTCAGTAAATAGTAAGCATCCTGCCAGTCTTTCAAGCAATCCTATTTGAGTGAAGGTGGATACACTGCTTTCAAAGTATCAAACATATTCCCAAATGTGCAATGTTTTATGTAGATTCTGGACGGGCTATTAACAAATAAAATCCATTTTATTTATCTTTTAGTCCCTTGTTGTGCCAGTCTCCCCATGGCTACCTCTTCTGCCCTTGCTTAGATCGTTATTACTGATGATCTCAATCAATCAAATGCTTTTCTGTAGGGGGCTGCACTGTGCCAATCAACATCTCCTTCTAGAGATGCATTACCAGGGGTCCTCAAACTCTGGCCCCCCAGATGTTACTGAACTACAACTCCCATGATTCTCTGGCTATCTATGTAATTCAAAGAATCATGGGAGTTGTAGTTCAGTAACATCTGGGGGGCCAGAATTTGAGGACCCCTGCATTAGATCAATGCATCTCTAGAGGGAGTGTTCGTTATTCTCTGCTGTCATTAATTTTAATTCATTCCCAAGCAAGGAAATCTTGTTTTTTGCTGCTAGTACACAAAAAAAGGTATATTTTTGTTACTCAGGCTGTGTGTGTGTGTGTGTGTGTGTGTGTGTATATATTTGAGAACAATAATTTCCCATGCAACAAATATCTTGTGTAAACTATTTGATAAACAAGAAAAATTTATTACATTGGACTGTGGGTATTAATTTTTCTTAAGATATAAAAACAAATTACTTTAAACTCTCTTCCATTTCTTCCTAGAACCACTCTCTGTTTTTCAGGATGGTGCACTGGATTTTATTTGTCTACTCTTAGAGGTGCAGGGTAGTGCATGTGTACAGCAAGCACATGTGATGTTTAAAGTGAGCAAACTTATACCAACTTTATGAAACCCTGCGATGCAGCCTGCCTCTATAAGTCCGATCAACTATAATTTGACAAAGTGAACAAAACAAATTAGACTACTTCCAAAGAATTGGAGGGACTCAAAATGAATTAAATGTCTGTATGATAATCAGATACCAGGACTGTCGTACATGCTACAAATTCTCAGTCTCAGAATGACAACTTTAATATTATGAACACAATGAGCAGACAATCTGACATGTTCGTAGGGCATACAATGAATGGATAGAGAGAGGCTATATTCAAGCTTCACTAAAGAGTACTGAGGACAAAATAGAAACCCCTCAATGTGTGTGTCTAGGATAAACTTAAAGGAAATATTTATAAAATCTGAAACTCTGCCAATGTGTGTATATATAAAAACAAAGAAACCCCACATCATTAGATGACCGTTAAGACACCTTTTATCTATAGTTTAACCCCTTAAGGACACATGACGTGTGACATGTCATGATTCCCTTTTATTCCAGAAGTTTGGTCCTTAAGGGGTTAAAGGAGAACAGTAATTTCTTGGAAACTTACACCATTTAAATCGGCAAAAAAAAAAAAAATCACTGTTCATAGGGTATACCTCCAATGCATACGTTTTTCATAGAGGTATTCATTGTGGGAATGTATTTATTTTGTTTTTCATTCTGTATTCATTGGGGGTATATCTTAAAAGAGCTTGCTAAGGCTGCAATTCTTATGATCTGCAGCCTTTGCAAGCTCTTCCATTTTCTACATGTGTTCTCTACATTGCTGACTGCCATATGTGAAGGACATAGTTAATAACAATGACTGGCTGAAGGCTAAGATGGAGACACCCAGGTGTCACACCTTAAACATTTTTGATAAATATAGGAATACATAAACCTCTAATTTTAAAACCATGGGAAGTGTCTTTTAATTTAAGGGCTGACAACCCTGACATGTAGGAGATTAAGGTTCTTTATGGTTTCATGTCACCTCACCATATAGGACCATAAAGTCCTATAGTGTTCACACCTTGAGCAGTATTTTTAGAGTGAAATAAAGTGTAATTTTCTCACTTGTTGCCAATTGCAAATAGAGTGCCATAATCGAACACTTTAGGTATCTAGATAGAAATCCTACTTATGGGAGTAGGTGTCTACTGGCTTTGAGTAAGCAGATGAAAACACTAAAGAGGTTTACTACAAATGCCAAACATTTGCCATCAAGTTCTTTGTTATTGACTCATATTTCACCGTTGCGGTTTTAGCCACTGAGGAATAGCACAGATTATAAATCTTTATTCATCATTTTGGGTTAGCACTTTTTACATTTATAGTAAGGTTACACGGTCCAGTGATGAACAAAATGTGTAAAGTTTTAAAGTATCTGATTCTGCATGTAAATATGTGAGTAATTAAAATGTAAAAATGTTAAGTAAGACTAGTTATAAATCTGTAACATTGGAATTTATGTTTGGTGTAAATGTTTGTATGTTGTGCTAGCAAAGTTGCAAGCAAATATTACACTGTGAATGGTAATACTATTAAAATAAATCAATAAGCCATGTTGATCTACCTGTGCTGCTTTTGATAGCAAGATTTTCTTAAATAATGTGCATGATGAATCGTGGGTATGTGTTCTACAGTTATTTACAAAGGCCTCATACAGACTGTTCTTACATTGTTATGCTGTAAAACATGTTTAAGGCACAAAATAATTCTTTACCCAAATACTGCCATTAGATGCCTTTTTGTTTGTTTTTTGCTATGCTTCTGTTAACAAATTTAAAAAAAAATAAAAAAATTTTGAAAATCATCTTGATGTCATCAGTGGCTTGCTGAATAAGCAATATATGGCCTGAATTTATCTAAAAGGATCTTTGATATATCATTCATAAAAGACTGCAAACTTAAAGAGTTAGTCCAACCACCATAGCCACTATAGCATACTGTAGTAGTTGGAATACCTTGACCCTGTTTCCTGGTAATAATGCAAACTGTTATACCATGGTTTGCCATCATACATGGGTCTTTGCTAGTGAGGGTCCTTGGAGCTTTGATGGCATGCATCCAGCTGCTGCAGAAGCCAATCCTGCTGGCCATCTATTGGTGTCAAATGACTGTTCACAGCCAATGCATGTAACTCTGGCAGCAAAGGGGTTACACTCTGTATGTGCAGTGTTACTGGTAACCTCTTATACTGAAGTGGTCACTGTGATTAGAGTAACCCTTTAAATACTGCACTGCTTAAGTAAGCGTATTAATGTAAGAAATTTTTTACGGTAAAAAAAAGCAAAAACAAAAACCTTCCACTTCTGTAGCTCCAAAAAATATTTTATAGACGTTTCAACAGGATTTTGGCCCATTTTTCTCGAGCAAAGTGCTCCAGTTTTCTCCAATTTTATGGTTGCCTTTACCAACTGCAAGTTTCAACTTTTCCACAGCTTCCACAAGTTTCAACTTTTCCATATCTGGGATTCAGATATGTACTCATAGGCCAGTTTGAAATGGGTGCTTTTTGATGCACAGTTGTAATCAAAACTAGAAAAGCTACAATTTCTGGGGAAATTGTGTGAAGTGTTCTTGCCTCCACCAGTAGTCTACAACTGGAGTGGGCAGAGTAACTGGGTGGAGTGGCTTGAGTAACTGTTGTGTGGTTGGAGTAACTGTTGAAAGGTTGGACTGGGCAGAGTAACTGTTTGGCGTGAGTAAAGATAGTAAACATTACACTAACCAATTGATTGAACAAATTTAAAAGGTGCACATGGCAAGCTTGATAGTGAGAAATGCATTTCAACTTTTATTTATATAGCACATTTAATTGCAATGTTGTTGCCCAAAGTGCTTCACAGTTACATTAAAACATACATTTATAAAAACATTAGCAGGTGTACAAAAGGCCCTGTCTATGACATCACTTGCTGCTGCAGCCTGGCACAAGTCAGAGTATTTTGACGGTTGCCATCTTCAAACAGTTGTATTTTAAAAACTATACATCCTACAGCGAAGAGCTTTATAATGTGAGAATGGCTTAGCCGTGGACATGTTTAGTGGCAGCAGGGATAGCTGAACATTTTGATATAAGATTTGTGTAGGTGGGCTTGAAAATGAGGGAGTGGTGGCAGTTTAGAAATCATGTCCTGATTTTTCAGCTTTTGCCAGCTCTAGTTTTGAACATTTTGCCATTCATTCCTATGGGACCAATTTCGCCACAAGAATGACGATATTCCGTGAACCATTCGGTGAAACGTTCCACAAAGTTTCGGTATATTACTGTCTATGTAGTGTAAAAACTGTGGGAGGGGTTAGGGTGGTAAATTTGGCTATAATAATATATATGTGAGAACATTAAGTGGTCTTGCTATGCAAGAACACTTAATAATATATATGTGAGATAACATTAAGTGGTCTTGCTATGCAAGAACACTTAAATTATTAAACCCCCATTAAAAATCCGGTTTAGTGTCAAAATTTACAGACTTTCAGCTTTTTGCAATGAACAAATAAAACTAAAGCAATTGAAAAAGCTGAACACAATAAATGCTTCAAGTGGTTTCCCCAAGTGCAACTGAAAATGCAACTTTTAATAACTTCTCGTTTCAAAATGATTCAAGCACACCTCATGAATCCCTTGATTAGTTTCATTAGTTGGACCAGGTGTGCTTGAGCTGGAACACTTGAAATACCTAAACTGGGTAGGGGTTTGTTGAGTGCCCTGTTTGACAGCATGTTAGAAATATGGCTGTCAAAAGAATGGTCCACAAATTTAAGAGAAGAGATCATCGCCCTTGACAAACAAGGAACAGGATACAAAAAGATAGGGAAGGCACTGAATGTTATGAGATATCGTTGGAAACTGTGTTAATTTTGGCTGCAAATTTCAATTTAGTTTTAGTCATAGTCTTTTTTTACTAGAAAACTATTTTAGTCGTATTTTTTATCTGAATTGTTTTAGTAGACTAAATCTCCGGTAGATTTGTCAACACAACTAAAATCTAATTGGCTTAGTTAAATTTCAACTTGGTTGAATATTGATTATAACTGTATATTGTAGGTCATTATATTGCTGGAGACCCCACGACCTGTGACCGAAACACAGCTTTCTGAAGCTGGGCAGTACATTTCTCTCCAGAATGCCTTGATTGTCTTCATTGTGACCTGCACACATTCTAAACACCTAGTACCAGAGGCAGCAAACCATCACTAATTTTCCTCCATCTTTCACATTAGTGCTGGTGTTCTTTATTTGAAGGATATGTCAGGCAAAGTTTCGGGCACAAGCCCTTTTTCAATGCAAATTTGCATTGAAAAAGGGCTTGTGCCCAAAACGTTTGGCTTTTATGTTCTTTAAATAAATGATTGGTAGCACATTGATGCACACTACAAGTGGAAGCGCAGATCTCATTTTTTCTATGTTTATTTGGTTTACACTGCTGAAACTACAGTGGGAGGAGCTGCAGCTCAGGATAAATTTTGTATTTTCAACCCTTTTAGTATTGCAGTTACCTGTGCATCTACTCCTTTTCTCTATTTTCAATAAAGTATTCAATGAGGAGGTGCCTTTATAGGCTGTCTGACCATTAAGGGCATTCGAACTGACAAATGTAAACAGTGCCGTATCTTACGAATAATACAGTTGACATTTGTCAGAGTGCAGGTTGCAGATGTAGTGGCATTGGTGCATATAGTATCTCTTTAATAGACATACAAAGTTCCTGAATAGGCTTGAAAATAAAATAAAAAGTTGTGATCTCTTCCTACATGTACTCTCCTCCCTCCAGCATCCTATCTGACCCTCTCAGAACACACTACAAAGCAACCCAGGCCTGTACTAATGTTACTGCCCACCTGTTAGCTGCTCACACCTTCCCTAGAGGGTGCTTGATGGGAACCAATCACACTGAGGTAATTCTAACATTGTATACATTCTGAGACTCTGTAACTGCTGACTCTCACTACTTATCCCAATATGTGTTCTTCTATTTCTAATTTACTAACCCTATTCAAAATACCGATGGACTTAAAGGTTTGAAGGTTTATTCCCACTTGTTTCAAAGTACTCACTAAACTAGGAACTGTAAAGATTAATTTCATGTCAAAATAGATTAACTAGAAATATTCATCAACTTTATTTCTCTTGTTTTTTTCTATTGTTTGCTAATATTTGCAGTTCCCAGTTCCGTGAATGTCCTTATTTTGTTATATGAACATTGCAGGTAACACAGTGGAATAGGATGTTTTATTCCAGCTTGCCAAGAAGCTTTATAATTCTGCAAGTGTTCCCTTTTGAAGATTGATCCATGCAGCTGAAGGCATCTGTACAAAGAAAATGACACATCAAGCTCTAGGTGTGGTAACACTTCTTCCTGCCAGACTTGCCATTGCATCACAAAGTTCTTTAGCTTCATCTTGTCAGGGTGGCGGTCCGGTGCCCGGGACCCAGACACTGTCCGGGCGGCAGTGCGAGGACCGGGACCCAGTATGCCTGATGTTCAGAGTAGGAGTCACAGTGTGGTGGTGGATTAGCAGGGTCTGGTGCAGGGTAACCGCACGCCCCCTGGTGTTGAGCACCAGCGTTTGTGCAGCCTCAACCAGAACCCTGAATCAGCTTATGCGGATCCCAGGAACTAAGAACAGGAATTAAGCAGACCTCCCAGAGCTCTGCAGCAAGAATGTATCCAGTACAGAAACAAGGCAAGGCAAGACTCAGATAGTCACCAAACATGAAAACAAGACAGAACTAGTAGAACCCAGAACCAGAGAAGGATAGGAAGCTAAACCCAGAGCATGTACACAATACGTAAGGGGACATTAACTAAACAGGGGCAGGACAGGACTGTACATGGACTGGGATTACAAAATAAAACAAGACAAGATATAATAGGCAAAACAAGAGGAGACATAACTAAGCACTCTATTTGAAAAGTATGGGGATTTAGTTACATTATATGATCATACATTGCATAAGCCTGCCACAACGTCAAGGTACCCCATATTCTGCAGGTCCTACACTGCCTAATGATAGCTAAAACAACCAAAGAAGACATATATAGCACTTACCTGCAAGAAAGGGCAGAAGCCTAGAGCAGCTGCCTGCAGGAACTCTGAAACAAAGGGAATGATGGAAAACAAACTGGTGTGGCTACATAAAACAAACATTTAAAGGAAACCTGGAGACTGGGAATACCAGGAATGGATTACAGGAATGAACCCAGAAATCCCAGCAATAAAGAAAACCAGACATAGACTAGAAAACCAGAAAAAACAAAACAAAAAAAATAAACAAGAATTGTAAAAAGAGTACTGGATACCAGAAGCCAAGGCCAGACATCTCCACAGAACAGAGCAGGATGTGACACATCTAAAATATAGAAAGTCGTTTTTATTCAAGTTTACTGCTGTAGGCTTTGGTTTGTATCCGTAAAACCATTTTTCTTGCATAGAAGTCCTTGTATTCCTCTGGAAGCTCTTCCAAAGTTTTCAATGCCCGGTCTAAGATCTGTACTGCTCTAGAAGCGGCCGTGGGATCTTTGTTTCCATAAGTGTCTGTCTTATCATAGCACTCGGAAGGTAGGTGTTTCCAAAAGACATTGACTCCCACTCCAAATTCTTCAGCAACAGTATTGTGAAACCATAATGCTGTATGCAAAACAAGGGACAAAGAAAGCACCATTTATTTTATAGATATATACACACACCACACTTTTTCAGATATAGTATTTATACAGAGGGATTGATTCACTGTGCAGAGCGGTGTGTGTCACTCAGTATCAAAGTATATTTTAATCTGTGACTTAATTGGTTTGCACACCAGCAATCACTCGGGAGCTTGTGTTAATACTTTATTTAGCTTGCTGTGTCCCTGTATATGCAAAAAATAAAACATAACTGGCATGTTCTTTACATAATAACACTTGTATTAATGCCTTTAAGACCGATTGAACTGGGATAGAGGGGGAAATAAAGTACAAATAGTGTTCTCACCGGGAATAAAAAGTACATCTCCTGCTTCCAAAAGGCATTCATATCTCCTGGCTTGGGAAAAGAGGGGATATTTGTCCAGGTCTGGATTATCCACATCCAATACTTCTGATTTGTCACCTAATAATAATACAAAAGGCAGCTAAAGTAAAACTACGCTAGACAAGGTTTCCGGTTTCTCCTAAACTAAAATGCAGTTTGCTTTCCTCACTAAAGCAAGAACATTAAAGGAGCAGTTTACGCACCATAACCACTGCAGCCTACTGTAGAGTTTATGGTGCTGGTGCCAGGAGTCGCCAGGTGCTGTCGCACAGTATTTAAAATGCTTTTCTTTTGTTGACACTTATTTAGGTCCCACAGAAACCTTCAACTCAGCCCCCTCTTCTAATATTGCTAATGTGGAACATCCTACTTTTTTTTTTTTTAGATAAAAAAAAAAAAAAATATTTTATATTTTTGCAGTGCAAAAGGTACAAGCCTGAGGTACCCCGACGGCAATCCTCTGGCTGATTAGCTTGTTTAACAATCAGGGTAGTAGATTTAACATGCACTATTTTATATTTATAAGTAATACACTTGAAGATGTTTAAACATAAGTGGTTCAGGTGAAATTGACATAACATGGATAAACTGCTTAGATAATAATTGACTGCGGAGTTACATGCTATGTATGACTCGCCTATAGTTGCCTATGTGGTTGCCGCTCGAATGCCTGTTAGGTATATCACATTTAGCATGTTTTAAACTGTTAGCTGTGTGGTTGCATTTTATACCAACTAGCTTATGCTGCAAACTACTTGTGTCTAGCCCTCTGTGTTTGGATACGGTTCTGGTTCAAATGTATAGCTAGTCTCAGAGGCGGCTCTAGACTTTGCAAGGCCTTAGGTGAAAGTCAAACATGAGGCCCCCCATTTACACCATTAGTGAAAAAAATTGCCGCAGCTCCCTATGCCGCTGCGTTGTGAGCACTTTTACTGTAGATATGACATAAATTGCTAATCATTTGTATACGATTGCTGGGTATGGTTGTATAGCCTGACATTTCCCCACATATTCTAAATTGCTTAACATGTATATTATCATATATGTGTTTCCCTATGTATTTTATATGTATGTATGTATGTATGTATGTATGCATTCATGCATATATATGTTGCTTGCAACTTTATCTTTGCATTGCCCATATCATACCACAACCACACTGCAGACACACGCACACATTTAAACACTAATACACAAATACATATACACACTGATACATGCACATGCATTTACACACACACACACACACACACTGATGCACACATATTGACTAATACAGACATACAGTCACAATGTGTTTATCTGGCTGTGTGTATTTCTGAATGTGTCTGGCATTGTCTGTCTGTGTATGTGCCTGAGAGTGCGTCTGACAGTGAGTACCCTTGTATGTGAATGTATGTTTCTGTGAGCATGTGTATGTTTGTGTCTAGGACCGTATGTGTGTGTGGTAGCTGCTTGCGGTATTTTTTGTATATGGACTGTGGCCTTTGTGCATTTTGTCTGTGGTGACAGTGTGTGTGTGGGGAATGGTGACAGGGTGTGTGGAGGGAGGTGACAGGGTGTCGAAAGGGGAGACTGTGTGTGAGAGTGGAGGGGATGACAGAGTGTGAAATGACGTGAAAGAGAGTGGAGGGGGCTGACAGAGTGTGGAGTGGTGTGACAGAGTGTGGAAGGGGGTGACAGATTGTGGAAGGGATTAACAGAGTGTGAAAGGGGGTGACAGGTCGCTGAGGGAGGGATGGGGTGACAGAGTTAGGGGGTGGCAGAGTGAAGGGTGGGCAGGTGGCTGAGGGAGGGGTTGACAGGTGGCAGTGTCAGAGAGGGAGAGGGTGACAGGGGTCAGAGTGAGGGTAGGAGGGGGTGACAGGGGGCTTTGCGATGGGGTGACAGAGTGAGGGAAGGTAGGGGTGACAGGGGACAGAGTGAGGGAAGGTGGGGGTGACAGGGGACAGAGTGAGGGAAGGAGGTGGTGACAGGTGTCAGAATTAGGGTAAAGGGGGTGACAGGTGGCAGAGTGAGGGCCACAGTGAGGGGGTGACAGTTGTCAGTGAGGGAGGGGCTCACAGGGGGCAGAGTGAGGGGGTGACAGAGGGCAGAGTCAGGGAGGGAGGGGGTGACAGCGGGCTTAGTGAGAGGATGACAGCGGGCTTAGTGAGAGGTGACAGTGGGCTTGGTGAGGGGGCGACAGGGGACTTGGTGAGGGGGCGACAGGGGCTTGGTGGGGGGTGACAGGGAAGTTAGTGATGGTGACAGGGGGCTTAGTGAGGGGTGACAGGGGGCTTAGGTAGGGGGTGACAGGGGGCTTAGTTAGGGGTGACAGGGACTTAGGGGTGACAGGGGACTTGGTGAGAGGGGACTTAGGGGTGACAGGGGACTTGGTGAGGGGTGACAGGGGGCTTAGGGGTGACGGGGGACTTAGGGGTGACAGGGGACTTAGGGGGTGACAGGGGGCTTAGGTTGACATGTCAGTCTGCCCTTGGGCGATTTAGGCGGCCGCGAGGCCCCAGCCAGCGCGAGGCCTTAGGCGGCCGCCTAAATCGCCTAATTAGAGAGCCGCCTCTGGCTAGTCTAGTTAAGTGTGAGACATTTAGTACAGTTGAACTTTAAATTAGGTGGGCAGCAGGCCTAAACTAAAGTTTGCTTGATTGCATTCAGGAAATCTGTGGTAGCTGTCATCTTAACCATCCGCTGGAGGGTCGTATGTTCGGCCTCTCTGGGGCATTCCGTCACCTTGTTAGCTTTTCAACCGATCCCTCGGCTGGGCAATGCTTGCTTATTGTGGGTCACTTGCTCCAATCTTCCACTTGGACATAGTTCATGAAAGTGGGTATTCTGAGGTAGCAGTTCTGCTTT